TAACAATTTTACACAACATCATAATCATATAGAAAGACAACATACTAAAATTTCATTAAGTTTAGAGCACAACTCAATTTATTATAAATTAAATATTAATCTGACCAGAAATTACAATAATTTTTAACAAATAGCTACAGACCTCCAAAAATTCTGAAATTTTTACACGAGCTATAACATCATCAGAGGGTTATACAGGTCAAATTTCGCAGCAATCGGACGAGTATAAAAATTTAAATGATTTTTCGAAGATCCAGCAACACAATACGATTCAAAAATGCACAACAATTAAATCAATCAATAATTTCGTCTAAGGCCTTCATCATCAGGCCAAAGACTTCAAGTGTTCCATAGATCCACAGCGATTAACACGATTTAACACAAAATCACAATCGAATGACATAAACAAATAAAATGCGAATAAAATCGATCATATAGCAAGCTTTAACTTGAGATCTCCCAACAAGGCATCATCTCAAAGCATATATACACTAAAATAATATGGAGTAACAGCCTTGTACCATTCTCGGGATAAATCGCACGAGAGAGAGGTAGACGGACCGAGGGAGATCACGGATGCACGGGGGGACGGCCTGCGGGTGCGCTGGTGGTCTTGCGGGGCGCCGGGCGTCTCTTGTGCGACTGCTGGGTATCGTGTGGCGTCGGGGAGGCGCGAACTGAGGCCTGGGGAGGTGCTCCTACGGCCTGGACGCGCGACGATGGCCTGACGAGGCACGGCAGCCGGGTGGTGGCGAAGGGCTGGGCGCGGCCGATTACAAAAATAACGAGAGAGGGGGAGAGGGCGAGAGAGAGATCGGGAGAGTGAGGGAGAGAGATGGGAGTGGCGGCTGGAAAAATGAGGGTGAGGGGAGGGATGATCATCTCCCTTATATAGGGCTAGGGCTTGTGACTTACCATACAAGTCACTTGCCCTAATTAACACCACCACACAAAAGGAAGGAGGGAGGGGTGCGCGCGGCTCACGGATGCGCGGCTTACGGGCGCGCGGCTTTGGCTCGAACATGCTCGGACGACGAGAATAAAATAATAATTAAAATATTTAAATTAATATTAATATAAAAATACCGAAAATAATATATATATATTAAACACAATTAGGCACATAAAAATTATTTAAGCATTTAGACAATTAACAATCAATAATAGCCACAGATAATGATAATAATAATAATAATAATAATAATAATAATAATAATAATAATAATAATAATAATAATAATAATAATCCAAATTATTCATAAACGAACGGGGCGTTACATGCATACCAGCCATTCTCCCATGCGCACCCGCGTATGCCCCGCACGGCCCGCGTGCGCATTTTTCTTGCCCATTCGTGCGCATTTTAGCCCTTCACTCTCACTAGACTTGCCGGTGTTAAACCTCACTTCCGTATCATTACCCTCCTCTTCAAGACTTTCCTTGTCCCCAAGGATAAGATAGTTCAGCACATCCACATCACTGTCACTGTCCTCTTCAATAGGAGAGTCGCCTTGATCTTCCGTTCTCAACTTGATGCGCTTCCCTGGTCGACCAAACTCCATCTTCCCTCGCCTATAGTCGGTCGTAATGGGCCCAAGGGTTTCCAGCCATTGTACTCCCAACACTATATCAGTCGCCTTAAGCTGTAAGGCGTAGAGGTCAATTTTCAACTCCTGATCCTGGGCCATAAACGAAACCTTCTTAAGCAATTGATTACCTTGTAGTTCATATCCATTGGCCACCTTCACCCCAAACCTCTTGACTTTAGTGGGTTCCAAATTCAATCTCCTGGCTATTCCTTCATCAATAAAATCCAGACTTGACCCACTATCCACCAATACTGCCAGCAGCAAATCTTTTATCTCAGCAGTAAACCTGATCATCTTCGGACCACGCCTTTTGCACTTAACCACATGCAACAAAGACTCCTCATGTGTCTTATCCTCCTCACTAACACAATCTTCCTCAAATTCTAACAAAAACACTTCCTTACCTTTGCACTTGTGGCCTGGCGTGAATTTTTCATTGCACGTGTAGCATAGGCCCTTTTCCCTTCGCCGCTGCATCTCCTCGTCCGTAAGCCGCCGTACGTTGCTCGTTGTTCACACCACATCGCCCAACGGCCTGCTCTCGGTCCGTGGCACTTTGTAACGCCCCGTTCATTTATGAATAAATTAAAATTTTTATTATTAATATTATTATTTATTTTCACTTATTTATTAATTGTTATTGTATGTGCTAAATTAATCGTC